GCGAACATTCTGATTTGGTGTGAAATCTCCAGGTAATTCTTCGGCAAGTGTTGTAATATTTAAATGCGCTCGCTTACTACTCTAATTATCATTCTCACGAACAAAAGGGAATCCTATAACAAGGAAACGCAAATCTGTGAATAAGGACGGATGTGCATGCGTATCCCAAAATGGGATATGTGATTTTCTGAATATCTGAAACGGTAAATTAATGGCACAATTACCTACATTATTGTTGTTATTACGGATATGTTAATCGTTTCATGATCTGAAGAATAGTGTTCGTTTTAATAGAAACACTATTTTTATACATTGATGAAAGAATTATTAACCTCACAGACAATACATCTATTCATCATAAATAACATACTTTCCACATATAAAGAAGCATTCTACGTAATTATGTTGGCAAGTGACGATCAAACATCTACCAGAGCAATGATAAGAATATATCATATTGAACATTTTTCTGTTTCAACATAACTGACGATAAGAAATAATTGAATTAAAATGTGTTTCACATGGGTAACTTCCATCAGTCCTAAACATAAACTGTAAAGCAATAAAATGAAAATGTACAAACGAAGCTGATAAAGATATCATTAAAGAAAGATAGAGTCATTTGAAAATGATGAGAGTGGTTAAAACACTTATTTGCTCGAAGAAAAAATATTCATCAATCACAAGCAGAGAAAAATGATCTTATCTCCATCATGCATAGAAGATAGAGACAAAAAATGGCAACAGAAGCGTACGGTCTGATTGGAAAATAAATCAAACAACACAAATTTCAGACAGCTTTAGAAATTTTAATCCTCGTTTCTTTTATTCTTCTGATATTCTGAATATTTTTTATAGTCACAACAATTTCACTGAACGTCGGTGCAACCTACAATTATATGAAATACATAGAAATCAAAAATTGCACAGTCAAGAAAGTCTGTATATTTATATATAATTCATCACTATGTTTGCAGTTCAGTTACTTTTCAAATGCAATAATTTGACTATAAAATTTATTAAAATTAATTTAATTCAAGCTGTTGAAAAATTCAGCAATCTATTTTAACACTCAAATTATCGCCTTTGAAAAGTAGCTAACTATCATCGAAGGAACAACTAATTTTTTAGAAAAGAAAAAAAGCATTCGTTTCCTCTTATTATGCTTCATTTTCAATGCGTATCAATATATATTCTATTTGAATTTCAAACTAAAACTAATTGCTTTCTATATACATATGTAGATTAATAGATATAGAAATTTACCTCTGTTTCTTTTTCACTAAGTGTATATATACGCCAATAAGTTGAACATCATACTCTTTCGTTTTAAATATTTTTAGTTCTTCCTTAATCAATATTTTTAAAACTAAAAGCTTGGACTTTTAAAGGGAATCTGAATTCGAAATTGACTATTAATTACATGCAAATACATCATTTTTTACATTGAAAGAAAAATAATCAACTACAACAGTCGAAGTTCAAATACGAGTATCATTGAAATTCTTTTAGTTAAATTTAAAAAGCGTTCTACTGAATTTTTTGTTTCTAATTAAAAGTTGATAAACACCCTTCTAAAATGATACTACATATAAGATTTATCATAGACATATGTGGATACATGTAAGCATTGAAATAAAAAAAGAAAAGATACCCCAAAGCTATTTTGATACTTGTGACTTTTATATATTTTATTTAGTTGACATCTCAAAATTTTATATTTTCTCCTAAAAGCACTTATTGAAAATGTAACGCTACATCTTTCAACATCAATCTGAATTGAAAACACGTGTACAATAAATATACAATCTTTCATAAGTCTTGAGACGCAATAAAATCATGTTAAATGTAGAAAGAGAATAGCTACTAAACTAGTACCAATCCTTGAAATTAGATCATATGTATAATGTCTCCTCATGTACTAATAATAAAAATATAAACAGAACTATGTGAGACTCAATTTTTCAAATTAGATCAACAAAAAGTCTTATCATTAAAGCCCTACATATTATTATCTTAATTCATGTGATTGTTTTAAATTTTCATTGAAGTATCAAGTTTAGTCTACGATATTTATTTTATTGATTTCCCGAAGGTCTTGAAAATTCTACCAATCATGTATTTCCCATCACTGAAAATTATTTTTCATGCCTTGTTCAAATTTCTTTTAACTTCAAGGTTTAAAACGTGATTCTTTTACTTTTAGTAGCAGAAATAAACTTTCAGTGACGTATGTATCTGGAGACTTAGCACGACTTTCTCGTGTTAATATTCAACTATCACATTTTACATCCAATAACTCTTTCTTCTTTTTTCCCCTGTACACACCTTTTAAAAATATCTTATACATTTCGGTTCAACTATTGAATATATATAGCTTCATTGAATGTCTAATCGACGAATCGTGATGAATGAGAGATAGACGAATACGAGAACTAATCAGTAGTTCACAATATACTTTTTTTTATTTAAAACTGTTTAGCACCTTATGAGCAACTTGTTGAGAAAAACTGACAAAATAAGAAAAACAAAATTTTCAGATTCTCAAGTTTTATTTTTATTAATTGAAGAAAACTAAATAAATATCAATATGTTATTTCAAGGATCGATCTAAAATAGTCACAATGCACGCTAAAATGTTTGATTTGATATTATTCTCCGTCTGCATTTAAACTAAATTTTTCACTCATTGAGATTTAAAAAATATTCAGTATAGATAAATGTAAGAAATCAAATAAAAAGGAAAAAAAGAAGTTTGACTATCGTTTATATATATTTCAATCTTTTCAGTGAACTTTAAAAAGTTTCGTATTGGTTATTCTTGGAAAGAACTATTTAGTTGCTAACGAGTTACTTTTCAAAAAGATTGTCAATTTTTTATTTCTATACGTATGCCAATACATTATTATTGAAATCAGCAAGAGAAAAAACATCTAGCGTTTAAACTTTGAGTACTGCTATTTTTTGTTTTATTTTATTTTTTCTAAAATTTCTATTCAACTTTAGAAAAACTGTTTCGAATTAAGTGACTGTCTTTTGAAAAGTAACTTGACTCGAATTGACAATTTAATGGTGGTCATATAGAAAAACGTTAAAATGGCAAATAATGAAAACATTGAAATTCATTTTTGAATAGAAATGTTCTGTTAAATTTCTTTGATTTACGTTTCTAATTTTCGATGGACTACATGTTGAAAATGTTATGAGCCAGGAAACGACTTCTTTCTTAAAAAAGACTAAAACAGTAGTCCAATCAATGTTAGTACATGTAAGAATTGAATCAAAAAAGAGAACCATGCAAATGTCAGCGGTCCTGACGAATAAATATTTTTCAAAGTGATTAGATTCTATTTTCTAAATTTGGCATTTAGTTTCTGTCTCGAATATAAAGCTAGAATATAATACACAATTACGCATTGAAATGAATATAGTTTTTAGTAAGGCTACTTTTCAGATGATTTCAGCTAACTTTTCACAATATTAGTATTCATTCTTTTTAGAAGAAAAATGTTCATCAAATGTAAAGTCTATAGGCGACGTAACAGAAATTGAAATCATAATGGAAGTTCGATATATATATTTGAGTGTAGTAAAAATGCTGATAAAAATGGCAAATGAATCAGCTCTGTTTTTGATAATCATTTTTTCTAAATTGATTACGCGAACTTTTCCATTGCCTATTGTTTTTGTTCAAAAATTAAAAGTAATAGACAATAAAAGATGATCGTTGGAAAAGATATCTAAGTTTAAAATTTTTTTTTATAAACATAGACACACGTGACGAATAATTTTAAAATAGAAAAAACAGTAATAGGAGATAAACTCAAGTTTGTAGGTATGTTGGTGTTCAATTTGAATTCGTTTGCTCTTCGACACAATAAAATATTCTTACTAGAGGATATTTTAGACTCTAAGAATTCTTTGTTAAAGAATATTATATTTGAAACATGCCAGTGAAGTTGATGCTTTAGAAATTTGAATCTAATGTAAAAGTCGAGATGGAAACTTATTTTTATTTTGTTATTCAGTAATAAAAATTGAGTGAATTGTTGAATATTATATCAGAATCGAGTACTGCATTATGCCTGTTATTGAAAGAGAATAATTAATCTTTGAATAGTTTTAACTTAAGAGGAATAATCTTGATAGTCACATATGTTTATTGATTTAGAGTTCGGTAAATGTTGAGAGAAAATTACTTGCTGATCCTTAGAGTTTGTAATCTCTTTTTTCATCGACTTGATAATCGCAAATGATTTAACTGTTTCTGATGCCATTGTGTGCAATATACCGCTGTTTTTTTCTTTCTGCACATACATGTAAAAAAAATGCTATATTCTTGATCATGATATATTGTAGGCTAAATTATGAAAATTAGCATATTTTTCTCATAAATATGTCTAGTTTAATAAGGATTGCTTGGCGATATTTATTTTGTTTGATATTCACTAAATGACTGTTTGAGTGATTGAAATATTTTGTTCCATTGTCATTCAACCGCACAGTATGCGTGTTATAGCTTTGCTCTAGAAAATAAAACATTCGATTTTTGTCTCTATTTTGAATGTATAACTTTTGACACTTTACTTATACAAGTATTTGTTATATTTATCATTTTAATTTGTTCTTTTTCTAAGAAAAATTACATTCCTTATCAACTAGAAGTATTTAAATATTTTCAATACGGATTCTAGTGTTCTATATATTCTGCCATGGAAACAATATAATAAGCATCGAACTTTTATGATACTTTGTTTTGCATTAATAAAAAACGCTTTTTATTAAATATTCTGTTTTTTTTCATGAGTCAACGTTAGTAGGATGCTTTCTTATTAGCAATAATAAAGATATTTTATTCGTGATCAGAAATCTGATATTATTAAAAAGAAGGAATTTCTCGTATTTTTCTTTCTACAATTAGACACACTTACTTATGAATGCTCTGTTGGTGTTTGCGTTTCAGATAATTCTTTTGCCTTTGCTAAGAAATCACAGACAATATGTCAAAAGTAAGTTGGAATAAGAAATAAATTATATTTTGAATAATCTATTTTATTTCAGGTATGTACGAAACAAGATGGTATTGAAGTTGTTCAACTCAATCCAGTAGTAGGATGTCACCTCTTGTGCTTCCTTGACGGATTAGATGCATCCAACTTCCTAGAAGTGGTGAACAATACCAATCAATTTTACTCTATTGCACCAACATCTGATCAAATATTTCGACAATTGATGCAGATGTTTTGCTGCAAACAAAGGGTGTTGGTGCCTCGAGAACTTTATGAATTCTATTCGGACGACTTTGAAGTTATGGATGACAGATTAGTGGTATCTTATGGCGACTTCGACACCTCTTTAATTCGACCTATTCAGCGTGTCTTTGTTCATCCATGTTTTAGCATTGAAGGTTTTGGTAAGCTATGTAAAGTTTATCGAACAGCAGCTTTTCAATGCTATTCTCGACTTATACCATTCAATACTGACTTTTACTGCGCAGATTTTGGTCTAATTGACTATGAGCTGTATCATCAAACAATTGGCGTGGAGCGAGATTTAAATACTTATGAGAATAACTTTTTTAAAAGTAAAACATTTCAAAATATTTTTTGTCTTAAAAATTGCTAATATTTCATTTATTCAGTTAGCACATATTTTCCAAAAAAAAAGAATCAACATGATGAAATTGCTGTCAAGTTTGTCGTAACTCAAAACGAGTTTCGAGAAAATTTGAAAACTCGCTTTTCATCACCCGAGTGGTTTGAAGCGATCGATTTTTCGAAGTTTGTAATTGTTGGTGGTGGTGTAGTAAATGCATTATGTCAGTCGCAATTTCCAGATTCGACAGAACAAGGTGTTAATTTAATATCTGTAGCTATCGATGAAATTGAGTTTGAAGCAGCTGTGACTATCACCATCAACAAATTACACGCAATCGCTTTAAAACACTTAAAATATCAGATCAACGTGGAAAAGGTAACCGGATCGCTCAACTACAATGTTTCTCTACCTTGTGGTGTTACATTAAACTTCTTGCATAAATCCAGTGAAAATTCAAAGAAACCACTTTCACATATTTTACACAATTTTGATATGGATATCTGTCAAGTTGCTTATACAGGTAGTTTTTTATATTTTACTAGAAAGGAAGATAGAGATGGCTTTGAAATTGTTGAAAGTTCCACTATGCTGTCTAAAATCTTTTCAAGTCATTCTAGAGTTTCTGAAATCTTGCAGTTCACTATCTCCCACTTTATATTACAATTGTTGCTAATTCTAATACTTTTTTTTATGAAACTTCTAGGTAATAAAATCATCTGTACATTCGCTTTCATGCAAGCCATGGCGACAAAGTCCTTCATTACCTACAGTTTACATGGCGAAACCTCGAAAAACGTATGCACTCGTATCGCCAAGTATTGTAGACGAGGATTTACTTTATTGGAACCCATCAAATTCGATGGTGACTTTGAATCTTTAATGAAGCAGGATGAAATGCCATTATATCGTGCTGAACATCGAGAATTCATTGGCGATGACGGTGAACTTCAAATAGCAACTATGGAGTATTGGAGACGACCTGAACATAATATTGATACTTTTCAATTGCAAGAGGCCTTTATTGCTGATTTTTGTCCTCATATGCAACAATAATTACAACACAATACATTTAATATTAGCAAAAAATAATAATGCTAATGTTTCCATCTATTATGAAAATTTAAAATTTTTTTTCATAAACCTAGCTTCTAATCGTGAAATAATAAAATTTTTTGATCGTTCATGTTGATCATTGCCCTTTCCTCACAAGGATGCAAAATTTTAATTTTTCAATAATATTGAAAAAAAATTTCCACAACAGTCGTAGCTGACAGTAAATAAACTCGAGCTCAATTTCTGATCTATCAATATCAAAAATTAACTTAACGGTTTAAAGATGGCATAAGATGCCTAAATTAAATTAATGTTCGATTGAGTAATGATTCATTCGCGAAAAAAAGTACTTAAAAAAACCGCTTAAAGACAAACATCAAGCCATAGCGTTAATCAGTTGTGTTGAGATATTTTGAAAGTGATCATTGAATGCTACGGAATATTTTTGTTTTATGTCATCAACATTCAAAATGTTTCTTGGCTACATTGTTTGAAATATTATTGAATTAATATAAATATTAATACATATTTCAGCATTTCACTTTTTAACATCAAAGAAGAATTTCATGTAACAAAATTCTTAGAGAAACGCGATTAAACTTAAACGGAAACGAAAAATATTTCATTGATAATCAGAATTTCGTTTGAAAATTCTTTTAATCATTTTACAACAACTAGTTGTCTCCTTCTTTTCAGTCTTGTTTGTGCTTATGCAAAAAAAATATAGGTCTAATAGAGGTTTGATAAGGAAAACGGCAGCATGCAAGAGAGAAAACAGGAAGAATAGCACGCATGTAGGTGAGTGGCAAGAGCTTGTTTCGTGGGACATTTTCTCGTTTGAATGCAAAACATTTCGCGTTTTAGTGTCCTTTTTTCATATTTCCAATAGTTTTTGTTACAAAAGTTGCTGTTTTGTCACATAGGAGCACTTTTGGTTCTTACAAGATAGTGAGATAATCTGTTACCTGAAATGTCTTTGATAATTTGAAACCCACAGTAGGAAATAACTTATTATCATCGCCAGACAAGCATATAAAACCACAAGAAACTCAAATACTAACAAAGAATATTTTCATTCTAGATTTTCTTCATTTATTTCTGAACTGACCTCAATTTTACTGCTCAACAAAAGAAATGTCAAATACATCAAGTAAGTAATGCAAGAAACATTGCTCTTTGTGATTCTTTCTTTCTTGATTTATGTCTTATTTTCTTAGAAACAACAACAACAACAACCATGAATACAAACAATTCTTCAAACTCACCCATGGTATCTTTCCAAGATAAGGTAGACATCGCATTTGTTCTCATATAATATATTCTGTTGTTATCATAGGTCACACCTGAATTATCGCCTAGAATAATTAAACAAAGCATTTCTGGTGAGATTCAAATGGAAGCGAAAACGTTCATGGTTCAACATGACAATTCAAAGAAGATGAGTCTATGCGACACTACAACATCATCCCCAATGAAATTTGTGAGCGCAGCTGCCATGGTCGTCTCGAAAAACACGACCAACGATGCAATACCAGAAATATCTGATGCATAATTGCTTGAAATGGCATTGATGTTGGAAAATCAGCAGCAACAAGAATAAACTATCATCATTATCGATGACATGAAACAATAAATAAAATAAAGACTAATCTTTTGATGTGCTTCTGTGTGACTGTAGATGTTTTGTGTCGTAGAAATTCATTTAGTACAACTTTCAGTTTGATTGTATGCATGATTGATTCCATAGAATTTCTGGGTCAATCACAATCAGAAGGGTGCTTGAGAAATATTTTATGTGAATAGTAGCAGAACCATAAAAAATCAAATGAGATGAATGTTATGAAGTAATTCGTTTTGATTGTAGATTTTCTTTACTCCTTGTTCGACTCATCTCGATACTTTTCGTCAATACAAAATGTCACATCCATCAAGTGAGTAGTGAGATAGGCCAGGTCGTCTTAATTACATCTTGAGGTTTCTCATATTTGTTAGAATCGACAATTAGCACTACCGACGGTACTGACTCGAACATGACATCTACTCAACATAAGGTAGGAATCTATGTTTTCATAAAAAATCTATATTATCGATATAATAAATGAGGAAACATCGGATTCGTATCCGATTGTTATGTGTACTGCAAAAACTGAGTCGATTTATATATGTTTTGAATAATTCTGAGAAAAAAAAATTTTTTTTGAAAAAATCCCTGTACCCCCCCCCCCTCAGGGATGGTCTGGCTAATAATGACAACTTTTTCGATAACTCAGCCATTTCTTCACAGATTGCTTTCATCTTCGAACTCGACTGAGATATCGATGAGATCATTCTGTGTACAAAATTTCATGACAATTGGATGAGGCTTTCAAAAGTTATCGTGTTAACGGCCGGCCGGCCGGACGGACACACTGACCGAATCTAGAGTGTACTCATTTTTTTGGAGTACACAATAGGCAACGCCTAAACTATTGACTGAAACAATCAAACGAAGTATTTCGGGTGAAATTTCAACCCAAGCAAAAAAGGCCATGGCAAATCATGAAACTTCGAAAGACAAGTGCCAATATGTAAGCGCAGCTACCATAGTCGTCTCAACAAACATGAGCAACGATGCAATACCAGAAATATCTGATGAGGAATTGCTTGAAATGGCATTGATGTTTGAAAAAGAGCAACAGCAACAGCAACAGCAACAACAACAACAACAACAACAGCAATAAATTGCCAATATTAGAAAAAAAGTAGACAACGAATAAAATAGAGACTAACCTTTAAATGTATTAGTGTTGTTCCAGTTGTTCTATTTCTTAGAAAACCATATAATTAAACATTGACGTTCATTTTATGCATTGTGACTTACTGTTCTCATATAATACGATTGCTTTTTGTCTTAAATTGTAGATTATTATTTAAAAACGTCAATATTGATTTACTCTTTCACAAACTCTTCAACTCCACATTCCGATGTATGCTTTCGGAGAAGCATCCATATGTATGTTTCGAAGACTGTTCACTAGGGCTTTCGAAATGTTTCAGTTATCAACATGTTCTATGTGCAGTCGCATTGTCGATATTCTGGCTGATAAGTCGACAGTGCATTAATCCTTTAGTCATGTTGAACACAGTGAATGTTTTTTTTATCAGCATCATCACCATCATCATCATAATTTGATTTGCCTACTGTTTAATAGATTATCATGTTTCGTTGTACTTAAATAGGCTCATTTTATCTATTTTAACTTTATCATATGTCTCAAGTACACTTAAGAAAATGAGTTTACCATATGTCACACTCTATTTCGAAGAAAAATAGACTAACTTGTGCAGCTAAATGAACTGATTGAAATAAAAATATGATATACAGAAGCTTTACATCATCACAATAAATTTTTATAGCCCGTACAAGTTAGTATATATTCTGATTGGATTGGATAGTCAACTCTTTGAAACCCTATCAAAAACTGAAATATATTGTGTTTTATAGTATATCTGTATTTGTAGTTACATGATAGTTGATCCATTGTAAAATAACAATAATGCTATTGGTTTTCAGATAAATGTGTTGACTTGTCATCTTTATTTTCACTAGCCTATTCAATATTTATTATTTAATGAAATGGATGATTATCAGCGGAAATGCTTGCGAGTTAATAAATACAGTGGAAGTTGTGAGATTCCTGGAGTCAAAATACGGTTTGAAGGTAAACATTTTTCACGATGTTTCGTTATATAATCTTTTTTTTACTTATAGAAAGATATAGCACGATTCACGATTTGTGTTGTGATATTTGGAGGGAAATATTTGAATATTTTGAAATCACAGACTTATTTATTACGTTCGCATCTGTCACAATCGCAGCTGATCAAGTATTGTTTGATGACAACAATCGTTTCTTTTCACGAGGGCTGACGCTCGGTGTTGATATTAACCCTTTCCGGCCCGCTGTTTGAAAATTGCCGTACCCCCCTAGGGGAAAATGTTGCCATATGGCAACACCGGGCCGGAAAGGGTTAAAGATCTTCCAAAACATATTCCTCTCAATCGTATCATTTCCCTTACACTGCACGACACTTTTTGTCTCAACATTATCGAACATTGCATAGAACTTCGATCATTAAAGTTAATTGGTGTGATTCAATGGGTCACAGACATTGTTAGAAATATTCCTCAAACAAACACGAAATTGAACCAACTTACTGTTATTACTCCTACCATTAGATCTCTACCAGAACTATTGACTACTGTTCTATCTGTTTCCTCATTGCGTTGACTAGAAATTCGTACTGATGAATTAGCAAAGAGTTTCCCAGTCTCTACGTTACGCGCAGCACAAAGTGAAATAAAACAATTCATCATAGATTCAGGCTCTACAGTTGACTGGAATGACTTGTCAAGTTCCCTACCGGCGTTTGGCTGTATTCGTTTACTCAGTATCGGCTTGATTGATCGTTGTCAAAAATCAATATCTTCGTTCATTTTCCAGAAGATTCATACTCTCAGCCTTGGATTACTTGAAGTATCATTCAACTGGATTATTCAACTAGTGGCAAAAATACCATGCCTTGCAAAGCTGAAACTGAGCGGTCTCGTAGACGCTGACGGTTTTGTCGTTAACCAACGGTGGATCTGTCTGTTTGAATCGTCATTGACTCTTTTGCGCATATTTGTTAATATATCTCTAGAGCAAAGTGAAGAATCTTATCATTGCGTAAAAATTCAAGCACCGCTAAGAGCTCTTAGTTTGAGTCTTATATGTGATTGTGACAATAATGATTGCAATTTGTATGACGGAAACGCCAGACAATGGTGGTATTTGAGAGGCATGATCACGAAACACTAAAGTTGAATGTGATCCGTTAAAAATACTATGAAACTGCAGACAGCTATGCATTGCAACAGACTCTGATCGCAATATATAATGATTTTTTTCAATTTATTGAATGCTTTTACTTTTGTGCAATATTTGCCGCTTAGATTAGAAACTAACTCACAATCGTTTTAATAACTATTTCAAATTGTCATAGTTTTATACTTCATTTTAAATAAACCCACTTAAAATCATATATTTTCAAATCTGTTTTTTTCTATGATTTCCTTCTAGACCCTTTTCACTAATTCAACCTATTATATTCGAAATCGATACTATACAATTATCGAAAAATTGAAGATATCATTAGCTTTATTTTCAGTATATAACACAGCAATATGAATAATCGATGCCTATTTTGTGCACAACGGACAACAACAGCGTGCTGTTTAGGCTGTCGTACAATAGACCGATCTACAATGTTCGAGACTCTTTTAACATTACTTGGTAAAGCACCCATGGTCGGTAATTACTATGATCAAATCAAAGTTATTTGTCACCAGATTGAGACCGTAAGTTTACTAACAATATGTTCTAACTTATATATTCTATTCTGATGATTTAGTTGGAGTGGCTTTTGACACCGATTCAATTCACGCCCGTCACTCATTTTGACCTAAAAGTTCATAGAGTAGATCAAGAAGCTAAATTATATCTTCAACAAGCATCTTTGGATGTTCAAAATATGATTCCAATCGAGGTCGCTGCAGATGGTAATTGTCTCTATAACTCCATCATATGCTTGAGTGGAAATATAGCATTAACATCTAGCGAATTGAGAGATAAGTACTGAGAACGTTAACATCCAATTATTTTACAGCGTTCCTTTTTAGTACGAACTTTAATTGAACTCGTCAAGAATGAAATTTTCTACAACAATCGTTTTATGCATATTGTTGGACCACTGAATGAAGTCATGAAAAACATTGCTCGCAATTTTGCATTTTCGGAACTTTATGAAATTGCAGCATTGAGCAATGTTCTCAAATGCAATATACGAAGTATATATCCCATAATTGATTATCGACCTCATTTACACATCATGAATAGTACTTTTGAACATGCTCAGTACAGCATTGTGTCCAAAGCAATTTGTCTATTTTGGACACATACAGAAAGCGAAATCGATGCACGTAGAAGTAATGCTGGTAACTGGTCACCTAATCATTTTGTGCCACTTTTACTTCCATCAGACAATTCTCAGAGTCAAAATTGTCTAGCTCAACCGAAAATCTCTGGCTCAGGCTTGGTAAGTTTAGTTTATAGTAAACTACCTTAGACACAAAATAAACACTTTCACTTGCAGACACCAACTAAAGCAACAACGAAAAATAATTCGCTTACTCAAGTACGCATCCCTCAATTTAATCAGGAAGATGATGAAAGACGATCATTTCAAGTGCCATCAACAGTTATCATGACAACCAACGAAATTACAACTCCTCGCACCAAGCGTCGACTGCAATTAGCGGAGACTTGTGCTAGCGTTGAAAGTACAATTGTCGAACAGAAACGTATGCAAGCCCGTGAAAGAATGGCTGCTAAGAGAGCTGCAGCTACATCAGAGGAAGCTGAGAGACAACGGATACTTGCAAGGGAAAGAAGTGCAGCACGAAGAGCTGCCTTAACACAGGAGAAAGCCGAACAACAACGCACTCTTACTCGTGATAGAATTGCAGCTAGACGAGCTCTGCTAACACCAGAAGAAGTTGAACAACAGCGATCTATTGATCGGGAAATACATGCAGCACGAATAGCTGCCTTAACACCAAAAGAGGTTGAACAACAACGTATACTTGCCGTTGACAGAAGCATGACTAAACGAGCTACTGCGACGCCGATAGAAGCTGAAGAACAGCGAGTACTAGCTCGTGAGAGAACTGCCGCCAGAAGAGCTGCCCGTGTGTCAGAAGAAGCCAAGCAACAACAAACTGTGGCTTACAAGACAACTCGTCTTCAGAAAACTGTCAAGCAGAAGCAAACAGTAATGAAAAGAAAGCCAAATCAAGATGCAAAAGTTGATTGGCCAAAACCAGTTGATATGGACTGCAAAATTAACTGTTTGAAGAACTTCATACAGCACATGTCCATGGATTCTCTAGCGGAGTGTGTCTGTGGCATCTGTAATATTCGTCGCTATAAGCGTGACCTTCGTCATGTACCTTTAAGTAAAATTCCATCGATTGAATTACTCAAGATACATCCCGATCTTCACAGCATGATTCCGAAAATTCAGGAAATTAACAGCTTCAATTCAAACGGTAAGTTTCATAAGAATGGCGATATCGGTTTCACTTCTAATCGAGACGAGAGAAACGTAGATTAATCTTTTCGTGACGCCAACTTAGAGCATTGAGAAGATATTTTTTCATTTCAAACAGCAATGTTCAATCGTCAACGAATAATCAATCATTTACTTGTATAAATGGTATGTTTTTCTATGAAGCAGGATTATATAGAACTGCGGATAGAAAGAAACGTTCCTTGATTCATTGTGACGTTTGCACGGAGTTCTGGTCGGCATTGATGAAAGAAAAAATACCCAAATTTTCAGCTACCAATAAAGTATGGATGGGAGATATGCCAAAACAACTACAAGGACTAACCATTCCTGAGCAGAGACTTATTGCTCTTTATCGACACAACAGTTGCATTGTAAAATTTCAGTCCCCTTTTCATTCGACTAGTACAGCTCAATCAGCTTTAAAAGGAAACTGCATAAGTTTTCCTCAAGATGTTATTAACATAGCCACTACTTTACCATTGGAATTAGACGATTTATGTGACTCTCTAAAGATTATTTTTGTCGGGTCTCGCATGCCACAAAGAAGCCAACTAAAACATATTTTGACTGTTCGAAAAAAGAAAATTTATGATGCCCTCCAATGGCTTAATCAAAACAATCCACTGTATCGATACATTACAATTAATCAATCAACAATCGATAAATTACCTGATGACGATGTACCAGAGTGCTTATGGGCAACAATGGAAATTTCAAACAATACAGAAGCGGCAGAAAGTGAAAGGTCAAGTTATATTCCTGATCCTTTGACCAATGCATCTGAATCCAACACTACAACAACAGTACCAATAACTGCTAGGTAAAATAAATGGATATATTAATATTTTCAAGTACCCTTTTTTGTGTTTTAGTGCTGTTTTAGATGTTAACGGTACTACAGTTTCGTCTGATGACGTTGTTGAGCACCTATTAGGACAAATGAAGATACGGATGTCAGACAAAATGCTCGAAAGTCAATCCGAGGAAGGTGCGGAACAAGATCCCGTATACATGATTCCTCGTGGTAACAAACCGGCCAATGAATATTCTAATCCAAATCTTTTATTGGGTGTCTTTCCTACGCTTTTTCCTTATGGATTTGGTGCACTTGAAGATAGCTCTCGACCAGTTCAAATCAAGTTTCGTGAGCATGTGCGATATCTTCTTTCGTACGGAGATCGTCGTTTTGAAGAGCACTATTCATTCATATTCGTTCTCTTCAATATTTTACAACGCCGTACCGCATGCTTCCATGCCCAACTAATGACATCAAGACCATATTTTCAACGATCCGCACAGCTTCTTGAAACATTAAGTTCTGAAGATGTAGCAACAGCTCTGTTGAATATATCCAAAGCGTCTTATACCAAGGTTTCCGACGAAAGAATTAATACGCTTATGAAGCACATTAAAGTTGTTGGTGGACATGTTATGGGTTCAGCTCATTCACGATGGGCTCTTCGTACAAAAATTCATTCACTATGTTTTAATCTCGGTCTCCCGAGCCTTTTCGTAACAATCAATCCGGCCGACATACATAGCCCAGTAGCACTCTATTTTGCAGGTGTTGATCTAGATCTTGATCGGGTTCTCCCAGAAGTATTGCGCACAAGTTATGAACGTGCTCAAATTATCGCAACACATCCTGTTGCCACCGCAAAATTTTTCAACTGTTTGATAAAGAGTATCTTGAAATGCCTCGTGCTCGGAGGTGTACTTGGTCCAACAAAAGCATATTTTGGCACTGTAGAGAGTCAAGGCAGAGGATCGCTTCATTTACATCTCCTTATTTGGCTCAAGCATGAATACACTCCAGCACAGTTGAAAGAAAACATTCAAAATCAAGATTTTTGTGACAATTTATTGAAATATTTAGAAGATGTTGTAAAAGAAGATTTGGACCTATTTCGAGGTAAGACGTTTAACATTGTTGGAATTTGCGATTTGAAGTATCTGCATTTGTGTACTTGAGGAAATTTTATATGTTGAGAATACTTTATTGTTGCTTCAGCTTTTAAGTGAGCGCTGAGGAAACTCTCTATCATGCTAAATACATTTAATTTTAATCACAGATTTTTACTGGCTCGAATAACTATATTATATCATTTATACTTTTAAATTTGATCGTTCTTTTTAAAGATGAAACCAACGATGGAACCAGTACAGCAAGTGACATCAGAGTATCCATTCGTAAGTTTGAAGCTTTGAGTATATCATGAAGTTTATTTTTATCTTCATTTTAGAAGAAACTGACTCGATAACAAATGAAGTTGTACCGGCTTGTCTATCAACGCCAAACCCTGCCTTGGATGATTTTCATCAGATTTTTTGCAAAGATGTAGTTCGATTAGTGGAAACTTCAAATATTCATAAGCATTCTACAACTTGCTATAAATATTCGAAAGGCAAGTCTGATACTTCAAAAACTTGCCGAATGCGTATGCCACGTGTACTTGTGAAGACTTCCAACATCGATCTCTCGACAGGTCAAATAACTATGCGACGATCACATCCGTGGATCAATAACTTCAATGAATGGCTCATAAGTGCTTGACGATCCAATATGAATATAAAATTCATTTGGAGTGGCAATGATGCTAAGGCCTTAGTGTACTATATAACTGATTATGTAACAAAGTCAACTCTCGCGTTTCATGATATGTTTGCCTTTGCGCAACAAAGAGTCAAATCTATTGAACAGCAGCGAGTCACAAATAGCATTGATAATGCTATTGAAAAATCGCGTAAACTTGTGTTACGCTGCTACAATATGATTGCTTCACAACAAGAAGTTTCAGGTGTTCAAGTGGCATCCTATCTAATGAATTATGATGATCATTATACTACACATACATTCAGAAATCTTTTTCTTATCTCAATTGAAAACTATTTACAAGCCGAACTAAGCAAAGCACAACTCCAGGAAAAAGACATCGACGAAGAGAGACTAGAAGGTAAACTATGCTAAATGATAAAATAGATATCTGGTACGATATACTTTTAGACATGACAACGCCCATTGATGAAGAACAAGAAGAAGATACAAAACAAACTGAAGAACAGTTTCTATTGGAGCTAACAGAAACCAAAAACGGTGCCAAGTTTGTCATGGTCAACACTCGCCTAGACTATCATGATCGATCAAATGATCTTACTGCATTGTGTTTATATGACTTTGTCAGTCATTTTCACAAGAAACTTATCGACAAATCCGATCGCCGCTTGATAAAGAGTGTGAATGAGTCTGAAGGTAAACGACTAGATACAGAAGGAACAAAAATGAATGAACGGTACACATTTGAGAGTGCACACCCACAAGCATCATCACATATCGTCATTAAACACACCAATCCAGTTGTACCAGTTCTCGTTGGACCACAAATACCACGCCAAGAACGAGAAGAAACACGCGAGCGTTATAGTCGTGCATTGTTAACTTTATTCGTACCATGGAGATCAGTTCATGATCTTTGTGCATTGAATCAGACATGGACTGAGGTATTGGAAATTCAAAAACCATTGATCTCTCCCGCCTCACTCAAGATGATAGAAAATATACAACTTTTGCATGAATGTAAACACGATCGAGATGAACATCTCCGCCAAGTTCTTGTAGAAGCACAGAGTGACAATAGCATCGATCCTGTTTTGATACCTAACTACTATGAAGAAGATCAAAATACTGAAGAAGATGACCCTGAACAGCTTTTACAAATGCTCTCCATCGTAAATGAGTCCACCACAAATGCCTACTCTGCATCAAACGGCAATCAAGAGCAACGCTACCTCAACGATGCATTACAAGCAATTGATAACACAGATCGGTTTGCATTACTGAACGGTGAGTGTATTAGAGCTGTAGTTCGAAAATATTTGGTTTTATTTAGACCAGAGAAACGTATGGAACCAAAATAGCGATGATATCGTACACGATTCAAGCGCATTCGTCGTAGCTCATTCACATCATGCAGCAATGATTAAAGAGTGGAAACGTGATATTGAAAGCAGAAGGGATAAAGCAAGAAATTATTTAATTTCAGGCGAAAATACTGTGGAAATTAGAAATGATGAAGTGCAGATTGAAGTCGTAGCGGCTGAAATACCAACCAGTCCATTTAAGGCTCAAACTACGACAGTGCCACCTGTGACTATAACAACAGCAATCTCATTTCCAACAAAAATGGATATCATCAAAAAATTCACATTAAATAGTCAGCAGAAGTATGCTTTTATGATTGTTACTAGTCACCTAGATGGTGAGAACCAAATTCACACGGGTATATATTTTTCAAATTTTCGATTATAAATTGTCATTGGTCATAATTGTTTAGGCTCTGCTGACAACCAGTTATTGATGTGTGTACCTGGTTGTGGTGGTACTGGTAAATCTCAATTGATTCGTGCAATCTAGCAATATTTCCAACTAACAAAGAGGGGCAAAATGCTGCGTAAACTGGCACCAACGTCTATAGCAGCAGCAGAAATTGATGGTTTAACCATTCATTCATTTTTAGGCGAAAGCCGCAAAAGTTCCAAAAAGAAGCAAACAAGAACATTCAGACCCGGCGACACAAAATTGGAAAATGAATGGCGTCATGTCAAATACTTAATAATCGATGAGATGAGCATGGTTGAACTTAGTCTATTAGCTCGTCTCAATCGTATAGTGGAAACAGCAAAGCATATAAATTCAGAGATTCCTTTTGGTGGTGTAAATGTTATTTTTTTTGGGGACTATCTCCAATATTCTCCAGTGTTGGATAGACCTCTCTATCACAGCTGTGCGTCGTCTGAACAAATTACGGAACGTCAAATAGATATGCAATGTGCACAGAAACTTATATCTCAAATGAATTGCGTAGTTGAATTGAGTCAGCAAATGCGAACCGAAGACCTCCGATATTTGGAGCTTTTAAATAGATTGAGAGGTGGTCAATCAACAATTGAAGATTATCAACTTCTTTGCACACGTATCGTTGGAAATCCAAAGCTACAAGCATCTTTGCGACAGAAGCCATGGAATGAAGTAGGTTTGCCCANTTAAACAGATTGAGAGGTGGTCAATCAACAATTGAAGATTATCAACTTCTTTGCACACGTATCGTTGGAAATCCAAAGCTACAAGCATCTTTGCGACAGAAGCCATGGAATGAAGTAGGTTTGGTCAGTATTTTTTTCTATATGTAATCATACATTCTTTAATAGACTCCAATACTCGTTTTTCGAAACACACTTCGCACTCAAAATTAACAATCGAGCTGTGTTAAATAAAGCAATGGAAATGGGACTGCAACCAATGGTGTGTGTTGCTCAAGATTATTTTCAAGAAAAGCTTATAGACGACTTACGGTTACGCAAAACGATTCTTGAATTACCTGACAACAAAACGGAGCATCTTCCAGGCTATTTATCTCTTGTACCTGGAATGCCAGTTTTACTTACAGAAAACGTGGCTACAGAGCTCGGACTCTCCAATGGTACACGTGGAATATTCCATCAACTTGTATACGAAGAATCTTCAGCGGATAATCAATTTCAAGACAGGAATTTTCCAACAAATACCAAGTTTATCACTCAACCAAAATACGCCTTAGTAGAATTTCCCAATTGCAAACTTGATTCTGAACTTGCTGAACTTCAAGCCAAGATAATTCCTATACCAATCAGTGAGCAAATATTTCTGTTTGATGTTAAGGAGCTTCTTGCAGAAAATGTTGCAAAAGCCGCAAAAATTAACAAAAAAAACACAAAAATCTCAATCAAGCGTAAAGCGCTTCCTTTAATTCCGGCCTACAGCATGACAACACATAAGAGCCAAGGCCAAACGCTTGGCAAAATTATCATTGATCTGGTCATGCCACCCGGCCCAGTAGAAGTCGCATCGGTTTACGTTCCACTATCACGAGTGAAACAGTTGGATGATTTACAGATCATACGTCCTTTTGAATTCACAGCTCTTCAAGTGAAACCATCAACAGCACAGCGTGAAGAGCTCAAAAGATTGGACCGAATCGCAAAAACTACTCCAAAACGTTTTCCAATATCTATGTAGAACAACATTTTTTAACAATTACACGATTTTCGAGCTAACTTGACAGCTAAAAAATATTTACTATGTCTTGCATGTTTAATTTGTCTTCAATTGGTTATCATATTCTACTAATATTTAATAAAACGTGTATGATTCACCTCTTGAAATAAAAGCTGCATAACCTATATATCCTACATCCAGTCAGAAACATTCGATCGCAATAATACCTCAGACAACATACTAACATGTCACAGTATCTGACACCATAGTTTGCAAGAATACATGAATTTCGCTGTATCCCATAAATATTTATGAAAACGCAAGCGATTCTTCAACAGATAGACTTTTGAAACCTTCGGTCAACCCTTATAAAAAACTAATTTTTACGTAAAAAAAGGCTCTCTCACTCCTAAAAAAAGAAAAAAAAGAAAAATTTCAAAAATCCCACAACGCCATCGTGTTCCCCAGCCACGATTACCTTCGGTCAAACCTATCCCTACAGATTTTGTTTGAGGTTAGTTAAGTTTATTCATCTGCTTTCCTATTGGACTGACGAACGAACGAACGACGAAACAACTCATTTCGGCGTAAAACCCTCTTTTCAGTAGAGGGAAAAACAATATGAGCATTTAAGTATTAAACCAAATGAAGTGGAATTAGCTCATTTATATTATTTACCAAAAGCCCATAAACCTGGCATTCCTTTAAGACCGATTATTTCTGGTTTAAAACATCCTACGATTAAAATATCAAAATTTTTTGATGATTTACTTCGAACATTATTCGATCAGATGGCTTTAAATTCTACTGTCACTTCTGGTTTCGATTTAGTTAAACAACAAGGTAACGCGACGTTTGCGTCGCCAACCCTCTACTGAAAGGATTTCGTCATGTGGAACGTAGCTATCCAAAACTATCTAGCTGTGAGACTTCACATTTTATAGCTTCGAAATGATTTTCATGGAAAACACGATTGATAACCGAGCATAAATAGAAAACTTGCTTGGAAGTATCACCAAGAAAGCGGCATTTAATTACTACTTACT